CTGAGGCCTTCTTGGGGGCCTCAGTGTGTGAAAACACACTGAAGTGGATTCTGAGAGCTCTTTGGAAGGGAAACTCCAGTTGGTGTGTTCATTTTCTAAAAGTTTGGTTTTGCAAAGCGAACCAGCAGGACCAGAACCTCAAGAAATTCCTCCAAAGAAAAGCAAACTTTCTGCATTGCTGGGGCTCCAGTAATCATGCGAAGTACTCCTGAAGATATGCAGGTCCCTCACACTTGAAAACTTTCTAAGGTCTTTGCCTTAAGGCAAAGCCTGAGACCCACTGGTGTGATTGATGCTTTTACAGGATGAAATGTGAATTGCTATTTATTGTATCACAATGATGGAAGCATATGTTATTTTTGACAAGTGTGTATGTATGTTTAGGGATTTGGCAGGAAATTGAGACTATTGCTAGCAATTTCCACCTCTGGTTACCATAGGTAAAACATCCTCATGGGCAACAGGAGAAGGTGCTGTATTTCCTTTTCACTATAGTTTAGGAAATTCATCCAGTTTCTTCCTTGCAATTTGTACATGCAGGTTTTTCATTAAGAATTACTGATTGCAGCAACAGTATGCTCAGAAATAAAACATTTTACTTCAAACTGTTCCATGTGGTTAAAAAAAGTCTTTGAAGCTCTTTTATCTTTAGACTTCCATGGGTGATAATTTAGAAGAGCTTCACTGGTTTTATACTTTTGTATTTATTTATAGCCATCACATAAAATAACAGTGCTGGAGAACTAGAAAGGTGCTATTCAGTATGGATGAAGCCTGAATACAGATTACTAATGACAGCCAAAAAAATAGCTGGAATTCTACAGGGGGAAACGTGTGAAGTTGTGAGGAATTGCTATTCCTATTTCTTAACTATAAGATAATCTCATGTCTACAGGAATTTTATGAAAGATGAAGAACAGACCACTCTAAAAGACTTCACAACTTCCCTCTGAGTTGAGTCTTTCAGAAAATATATTTCTTAGTATTAAAATATTAATTTAAAAAAAACCTAAAAATTGTCTTTGACCAAAAGGTGTTGGTTCAGAATAATTGATGAGTCTCTCCTATGCACTTTTGTTGTGAGATTTACACCTTTTCAAGATGTCTTGAAAAACCATCCAACCATCCACAGTGGCTCCAACAGAATGGTTGGATTACCATGGATTTGTTTACACGTGTGAAGGAGATGGGGGGAGCAAGGAGTGGTCAGATTCAGGTGGACAGCTGGTCTGAGGAGAGGAGGAAGATCTTGACGTAGCTGCAAGTACTTCCTTTATTTCAAATATAATCAAGGAAAAATGGAAAAAAAAAAACCCTAACAGTTTCTGTAGCAGTCAATCATGTTATCTTGTTTATCATATATCCTGTTCAGTATAGCATTTAATATTTAGTGTATGACTAGCAAAGCCCTTCAACCCTTGGCTGAAGATTTTGCAGATATTTTGGGGAGTTGGGAATCCAGAATCCCTTGAGATTCCCAGAGAGTTTCATGCCATTTGAAAAACCCATTTTAATGCCTACCTACATTTTCTTTCTCTGCAGCTGCCTCTCCCCTAAGTGCAATGAAATGTTTGGAGAAAAGAACTTTCTCACTGTACTGTAATCCCACTGGCAAAGAACGCTTGTGGGAGAGAAAGGTACCATGGCTTGTCCTAGATGTGACCAGCTGAGCACGTCAGGATTGTGCCTTCTGCCCTTAGGAAGTATTGCATCCACTTTCACTCTGAGTGCTCTGCAAGGCTTCATAGCCTACGCCTAGGGTAGTGCTACTTGTTTGGTGCTGTAACTGCAAGCTCTCCATGCACTGTAACTTACCATTCCCATATCATCAGATCATATGTGTTTCTCATGTCTTCCTCTTTAAAAAGCCATTAATTAAAGGGCTTTTATTTGTCTTGATATATGGAAACTATTAGTATATATCTCTAGTCCAGTTTTGGTGCATGCTAATCACATTTTCATGGATTGCAGATTTTTGCTTAGAAATAATAGGATTTGGTTTTGAAGCTATTTAATACAACTCGCCTGTTCTGTCAGCATCTGTATTGACAACTCCCTCTTAGCATTAGGTTTTTAAGTGAATCCCTGGTCCTTGCAGAGTAATTAATTAGTCTTTGGAAATAGAACAAATACTGATAGTGTCAGAGAGAAAGGAGTGGCCACCAGATTTGATTAATTGCTGTTTATTCAGGTAGTGGGTAACTGTTATTTACAAAGTATATTAAAGACTTTGTCATCTCAGGATGTTTTTTGAAAACACATATAACTTCATTATAAAGTCAAATTAGATTTTACTGATTACTGAATCAGTACTAAAATTATAGATGAGTCTGCTCTTCAGATTTTCAGAACCCAGACATTTACTTGGAAATTCAGCTTATTATAGACCGTGAATTTTTGGCTCAGCTAGTTATCAAGATGGCATTCAGACCTAACTCTGAAAATCCCACAAAGGACTTGGTGCTCATGTTGGACTTGGACTGAGGCCATCCCTAGTGAAAATGAGCAAACGTTAGGCAGAGTAGGCAGCGCATGCGGTATGTGAGTTGTCTTGTCCTAGGCTAAGTTATGACCATCTCTATATCTTCCTTGCCTTTTATGATACTAATTTAAACAGTGTACAGTGAGTAACTCTGAAACAATTTGTAGCTGAATGTCAATGCTGTACTGAGAAACGGCTTGGACTGAAAGCAGGCATTGTGTGAGCAAAGCCTGATGATACTTCACATTTAATCTTTATTAGGAAATGTAGCGGAACCATTTGGAATTAAGCATTTGACAAACATTTGGAATTAAGTGTTTGCCCACTTTATATGACATTTAGAAAGACAGGACACAAATGTTGTTTCCAGATTATTTATTCTTCTGCCAGATCAATTGCCCATTTATTTTTAAATATTTATGATCATCTCAGTTTTGCCCTGATGTTGGTAATGGTTATGTTTATTTACTCTTGCGGTTTTCCAAGTTCTGGACATGGAGGCATGCTGAAGTCTTTTCAGCTCCCTTCTTGACTGTACAGTAGGTTCATGGTTCTCATCTTCCAGAGAGCTCTGAAAACCAAGGCTCTATCTCTTCTCCCAGCATATGCTGAATGCAATTAGGCACCAGTTCAGAAATGGCTTTGTAAACATTCTGAATCCGTGCCACGTTTTCTGATCTCAGGAGCTGCCAAATGCCTAAATGCTGTATTCAAGCCAGATGTCTAAATATATAAAATGAATGTCTGAACAAAGTGCCTCCTTAGTAGAGCATATGCCTATAGGATGGACAGACCTGAGGGCTCTGAGAGCAGCTCCAGAACATGATGTTCTGCCAACCCACATCCCTGGCCACTAGGAGGGAGACCAGAATATGCTGTGTCCTGGATGGGCTGTATGAGGAAGGAGCACCCTCGCTCTGGTTTTTTGCTGTCTTGGTATGGGATGCCAAGCCTCAGAAATCCCTGCTAGCAGTATCAGAAGGCAAATTCTGTCACTTCTCAGTGAGTACAGCTGCCTCTGGGACACTGAGGTACTTGTTCAGCAAGATCAAACAGTTTGAGTACATCTGAGTTTTCACCTGAGCAGCATCCACTCAGCCATTCTGAATGGGCTGCCTTGATCTTGTTTGGGAGTTTCCATCATACAAGATACACAGAAAAAGAGCTTCTATGTAAAATAATTCAAGTACTTCACTGACTGTTAAGGCTGCCAAAGTGTTTTTCTCTTTTGGTGAAAGCAGAAAGAGCGAAAATCAGAAATGAATGCAATACTCATGGTTAACACTGTGGACGTTTGTGGTAGTGGCAAAACTGAAACACGCTTGAGCAGGTACAGTAACCTACATGTCTGGCTGGGATGGAGTTAATTTTTCCTGTAGCAGCCCTCACAGTGCTGTGCTGTGTATTGGTAGCTAGCGAGGTGTTGGTAACACACGAGGGTTTTGGCTACTGCTGAGCAGGACTGGCACACATCAAGGCTGTCTCCAACATCTCCCCCCTCACCAGTAGGCTGGGGGTGGGCAAGATCTTGGGAGGGGACACAGCCAGGAGAGCTGACCCCAACTGACCAAAGGGATATTCCATACCATATAACGTCTGCTCAGAAATAAAAGCTGAAAGAAAGGAGAAGGAAGGGGGCCATTTGTTGTTTATGTTTGTCTTCTGGAGCAACTGCTACACATACTGAAGCCCTGCTTCCTGGGAAGTGGCCAGACATCACCTGCTGATGAAGTAGAGAATAAATCTTTTGTGGTATTTTTCCTTTGCTTCCGTGTGCAGCCTTTTGCTTTACTAAACTGCCTTTATGTGGACCCACGAGATTTTTTTTTTTTTTCCATCTTATTTTTTCCCCCTCTGTCCTGCTGAGGAGGGGAGTGATAGAGTGGCTTGACGGACACATGGTGTCCAGCCAAGGTCAACCTACCACATTACATTGTACATTTTTTATAATTTATAAGAGTAGTGTTTTTCACTAGGCTATCTTAGTCTTTGTCACTCCTCAAAAGAAATAAACCTGGTCCTTTCTGAGCTATGATTAAAGCAAAGAATAAGATGTATTTATATTCCTAGTCTTCCCAGAACCTGAAACTTCAGTGATCTTAAAAAGTTGATTGGCGTAGTTTCCCTTTGTCTAGTTCCAGATTCTGAATAGTGCATGTATGTGTGCAAGGCATTAAAACTTGAACCCAGATGCTATTGTTTTGGATGACCTATAAATGATTTTAATTAGTTATCTTGAGAATAGCTAAACTGATCCAGAAAGATTGTGATGAGACGCTCCTGGTAATATAATAATTCTGTAGTAAGTTTAAGTAGTAGTAATAATTCATGGTAAGGCAAGGTAATAACTCCTCTCACAACTGTCTAAAAAAATATCTGTATAGTCAAATATGTCTTGAGTAGTTATTGTCCTTTGTAACAATGACAAGCATAGAAATAAAATTATTTCAGTGTATTTACTAAAGGACAGCAGTGGTGTAGGGACCTCTCACTAGCAGAATGTCTTTTTTCCTCCTAGGTATGGCAGTGTGGAGGAAGTGTGGAGGTTCTACCTTGCTCCAGGATTGCCCACATTGAAAGAGCACATAAACCATATACAGAAGATCTAACTGCTCATGTCCGGCGAAATGCACTAAGGGTGGCTGAAGTCTGGATGGATGAATTTAAGAGCCATGTCTATATGGCATGGAACATACCTCAGGAGGTGAGTCATAAAGACTAGTGTTTGCAAGCTTTGGCCTTAGATCCTTTTGGGTTTGGTTCCTACTCTGAATTTTTATTTTTCTGCTATGTTTTTGTTATTCATATACACATACGTATGTATTTATATCTTACATATAGGCATAAGATATGCCTATACCTACATACTTACATATAAAAACGTATATGTAGTTGTGTCTTATTCGAGAATAATTCCTTTGTCTTCGGGTTCCTTAAAAATTAATTTTTTGTCAAGTTCATCATTGTCACTGATGACTCTGCCTGGAGATTTTAATCTAGTAGTTGCAGAAGTGTGGAAGAAAGAAGCATCAAATCTATATTACACATCTTATTTTGAATTTGAGTGTCTTTATTTACCATCACAGAGAGCTCTAATTCCACCAGATTTGTGAGGGGAGTTCTGCCAAGGGGTGAGAGATGTTAACATCTATCGATTCAAGCGTGGAAGTATCACTCTTGAGTAATTTCACATCAGAGTAAGGGTGGCTGGTGGATGTCATGGCATATTGCAGAATCTAGCTGCAACTCTTGCCCTGCTTGTCCAGATTTCTTTTCCATAGATGAGCAATAGTTGGTGGACTGTATTGAAAAGATAATGTCAGATGGCTAACCTGAGAGTTCTGTTTGAGATCTGATTTTAGATGTTCTTCATTTCTGTAGTCAGTGGTATTTAATCTATGAACTGTTGAGAGCTCTAGGGCTCTGAGAAAGGTTACTATTATCCTGCACCTATTTGTGATCCATGTAGAATAGGTTGTTTCCACCTAGAGGTTGGAAACCATGGCTGTAGTTGAATTTGAGGTTTGGCTTACAGTGTGCAGTTCTCATCATTTTAGCAAAAGCAAATATTATAGACTTAATAAATGAACTTGGTCAATTTATTTTTTCTTTAATAAAATATCTGTAAAATCTCTCTGAGTGATTTTGCAACTGTTCAGAGAAACAATTTTGCCCTGATTTTTGGTTTGAGAACTAAAATGCTGTACTTCTCCTTCTTTAGTTTAATAAGGAAAAAGGGTTAGAAACAAAAAAACCAGCTACATACATGAATGCTGTATGATTCAACTACTTTCAATAATTTCCTTCGTCTCTCATGGTTAAAACTAGGTAGTTTTGGCAAAGTGGGTAAGTCATTGTCCTATTTTCGGGTTGCAGAATTAGCCGTATAATATACCATGAAAGCACCAAGAAACAAATTCCTCTATGATCTGGTACAGGGACCTTTCTGGAAGTTAGTCTCATGTTCACAGACTACAAGCTACCCTTTAAGTATCCCGGTTTTGAGTGGTCACACTGCATTGCATACAAGAATAAAGATGTTTCTGGAAGATAGGGTTACTTATTTTACATCAAAACAATCTCAAATTAATTTTATTTGTGATTAACCTGACAGATTTATATTTCAGTTTCTATTTTTCATTGTTAGTTATTTTCCTGAGGATTGGTTGATCTTCATTCATTGATCAAGTTTCAGTTTTTTGACTTGCAAACAGCATTAACACAAAACTTATGAATTCCTTTTTGTAACCAGGATATGGAGTATTATACATATATTTGCATAATAGTCATCCAGATATGATGGTGGTGGTGCTTAATCTTGTGCAAAGTTGAGATTGGAATGCAATTTGGAAATCAAATTCATAAAGAACACAAAGATATTTCATTTAACAAGTAATAATAACACAGTATCAAATGTGTTGATAGATCAGAAGAAAAAATAAGCCTGTTATAATAAATTTAAAAACTCATTTATTAAACAAAGGAAACAAATATATTTTATTAAACAAAGGAAAAATAAATGCAGTATGTGGATTGAACGGATTTCTTCAGGTCACAAAGATCTACTGTGCATTAAGATGTTTGCACAGTAGAGCTTGTGCTGCCAAAACAGATTTGGTTCATAGTTTTGAAGAGGAATAACAAGTTTTCTTACTACTTCAATCTGCAGTCATTTTCCCACCACAAATGTTCTGATCGTTGCACTGAACTGCTTGAATAAATTGTAATGCAGATTATCTTCTCTCTTCATCTTCACAAAGGCTACTGCTGTCAAACCATGGTGCAAACTTAGAAGCTGGAAATGGCAAGCACTACATCAGGTTTTAATAGTGGTAGCCTCTTCTGCAATGCGATGGCTCTGTTGTAGGGGGAAATCTATTATTATGTGTATGTATGGAACCAAGCACAAAGAACCTTCATTTGTATCTCTTCATTGCTGTAGAAAACTAAACACACACACACACACATGCCCACATACTTATTTAAGATATACTGGGAAACAGCTCAGTTTTCACAGTTGTAACAGGCCTATAAAGCCTGAATCTACTCATTACGTAGTAACTGCTGCATGATGTTCAGAGACAGTATGGCACCTTTGTGACCATCAGAAGGTTTTCCTGTCAGATGGGATCTGTGACTTACAGCTGGGTGCATTCAGGTGTTGTTCACCCAGCTTGCATCTTTTGCCATGGGATAGGGAAGGAGTTAGAAGAATGTGGGGGCCCTGCTTTGTTCTGACAGCCTGACACGTGCTCCAGTATCCCAAACCAGTTGTGTAATTTGAAGCTGTTTTAAGTATCTTTGTGTTCATTGTGCGAGGCCTGGTGCCAAGAATCAGGGGAAGAGCTCCAAAGACCTAGGACTTCCTTTTCCTTTCCTGCACTAAACTTAGCGAGTACTGAACTGATGCTGGAGCAGTAGGAAATGAGTACATGTTTAAGGAAAGCTACTGGCATTTTAAGGGGAAGATGAAAATACAGTACAAAATTACACTCCCAAGCACTGTAATTGAATCAGTCAGTATAAGGAGAACCTACATCATTAATTGGAGTCCTCTTTTGTACATCAAAAGGTTAGGAGCAATGAAGTCTCTGGTTGGTATAGAAATATCTATAGAAAGAGGAGAGTATTCAGTGTAAAGAAGCAACCTAAAAAATAACTCGGAGCTTGTGAGACACTTGTAATACAGACTTCCAGTAGGCAGGGGGCAAAGAGATGGATTAGGTCAAATTTAGATATGAGACTGCATGGCAATATTTCTGTTTCATCTTTGCTTACCTCAAGATTAAAGGTGAAATAGCAAAGAGGGACAATTTTTAAATCAAACCTAGCTTCAGCTTGGGCAAAAAGAGACATCATTGTGAGAGACATGCAGAGAGGACTGACGGCATGGCCAAATACTGTTACACAAGTGGATAACTACAGGAGTAATTCTCTCTCTGGAAGCTGATGAAATAGTGTACTGGTAATGGACTGTGCAGGGAATAGAAATGTTTTCAGTTATAACAGTTGGGACTTTCCATGAAATATGTTACTCCAAAATGTTAACCACAGGACCTGTTTTTTCCATGGAAGAATTCCCAGATCTGTGAGAAGCACCATAGCCAGCTGTTTCCAAAGGTTTTAGTATTTGAGAGCTAATAGTAATAAATTATTTGGCAGCGTGCTGTGACTGCCCTCTTGGGATCTCTGTGGATGGCTCTGAAGTACTGAGGGCTTCAAATGGGGATCTCGGACACCATGGTGACTTCTGCATCGTAACTACTTAGATAAATAGATTCATAAAAGCACTTGAAACCCAAAGGAAAGATTTTTTTCAAATCCCAGTAGCAAGAGCTGTGCTCTCCATGTGTTCCCCCTATATTTTTGGGTTTTTAGTTTTTTGTTTTTTTTTTTTTTTTTTTCCCCCGTCACATCATATTCTCAGCTTTGGGGAATACACTGAGCTGTTGCTGGTGATAAAGGGAGTGTGCTATGTGTGAGCTATTTTCCCCCTCCAGCTGCATGGGAGGATGTGATTACTGAGGCCCAAGATGCTCTTTCTTACCTCATACAATAAACTAGGGGGAAACAAGCATTGGTGCCTGCAGGGTTGCATGAGAAAGGAGTTGGGATGCACTGGACCGGTTCAGTACCTGATCCAAGGCAGCCTTGTTAGTGCTGGAAGTCAAATGTCTGTGTGCTGGCATCCTCCTTTTCCTTCACACAAGTGGCAGACACACTGGCAAGTGCAGCCAGAGAGCGGTGCATGAGCAGGATTTGTCCATGGGATCAGTTGGCTGTCTTACAGCACCCTACAGCATGTTCTTCTATCTATTCACTTGCTAGAAAAGTCAAGGGAAAAAGATCGCTTAAGAAGTAGTTCCACATATAGTTTTATGAATGATGTAGGGCTTTCCAGGACGGGAGTCATCATTTTTAAGAATTAACTTGAGTTACGCCTGTTTATGCCAGATCTCAGTTTCCTACTTTTTAGTAGACTTTGCTAATGTACAAGTAATTTTTACTTTAGTTAGAAAATGCTTCCATAATAAAATATACTTGTTCCAGATTAACATTAATTCAGTGCTTTGGGATGTAAGGAGCAGCGGTTGCTTCAGCAGCTCTGAAACCTAGATACTTACAAAGATACCTTTTTGATGTGTAACTAAGAAAATTCAATGCTTCCAATGTTATTTTTAAATCTTATCTGGTGGCTGACAAAATCTTTTGGGGTGTTTATGGCCCAGTTAAGGCAGCTGTTTAAGTAGATAGATTATAGGATTTCCCTATGAAAATGTATTTATCCTGCGTTTTGTTCTGAGGCAGAAGAGCACAGTGTGGAGCAAAATGTCTCATTTTACTTCTTGTCAAATAGCAGCTGTGGATTTGCACTTAGATCCCTCTCTAAAAATTTCCACTGCATGATTTTAATGTGATAAATTATTGATTTTTATATACAGGGACTTTATGAAACTCACACTTTATGATCTGCTCTTATGATAAGCAGAAATTAGGTTAGCCAGAAATGTAAAGGAGAATAAAAATTAGAGGAGAGAATATCCTGCAATTGCCTTTATCAAAAATAGCAACTTACTTTTTTACATGACAAGAGAAATTTAATAAGTGGTATTTCAGAAAGGTGAGCAGAGCTTCTGCTCTTTGCAGTGAAGCAGTAAACCCAGACTTCAGAAACAGCCAGAAAGTGTCATATACTAATGATTAGGCCACAGTGGGACACCAGTAATAAGGTTGTTTCTAGGGCAACTTGCTACTTCCTGCCAATTACTTTTGGATTTGGAAAGAGCCAGGAATTTAGAGAACAGTGACATTCAGCGGAAGCTAGATCTAAACCCCACTGAAGTCAATAGGACTGGTTCCATTGACCAAAGCAGCCTTTGAAAGAGACCCTACCATGGTGACCTGAATCATATTTAACTGGGCCACTTATGGAGCATGTGTGGGTAACAGACTCACATCGCAACCTAAAGCAGATAATTATCGCAGGCCATAATCATCTTTGCAATGAGGGAGACTCTGGATGATGAGTTTACACAGAAGTGTATCACTGATGTCTTTTCTGCTTTTTCTGTCCTTTGTTTTATGTGCAGGACTCCGGAATTGATATTGGTGATATTTCTGAGAGGAAGGCCTTGAGGAAAAAGCTCCAGTGCAAGACCTTTAGGTGGTATCTCGTCAGCGTGTATCCAGAAATGAGAATGTATTCAGATACTGTCGCCTATGGGGTGGTAAGGATCTTGTTTACATTTCCCATTCTAAAAAGGTTGGGGAGGAAGGTGTAGTAGTGGAAGTAATTCATGAAGACAATGCCTGGCTCTAAGTAGAAGAATCGGATAAACTTGAAGTCACTAGTTAAATAATTTGTTAGACTGGTTAGTTGACAGAAACAACTGCTCTGCTGTAGTTTGTGCTGAGGTATTCTGAACATTATCTTCCTCCCTGATTTTTTGTTTATTTGTTTGTTTCATGGCTTGCATTCCGCTCAGAGATACTCAAGGCATGATTTTTTAGACACGTAGGAGGTCACATCAATTGGAAGGTTTGTGGCAGCAGGTGAATTGACAAAATAGGCTCAGTATTTTAACTGCAAGCTTCTTAATATTGTAGCCAGATTTTAGAACCTGGAATGCCTGTATTTTGGGATCATCGTCATCATTACTTGTGTGACAGTAGTACCCTTGTCTATGTTGAAATCATGCTTGAGTTGTACTGTGCTAATTAAAACAGACAATTCTTGGCCTTAGAAAACAGCAATCTAAACAGAGAGGGCAGGTGTGCATGACGTGGAAGGTGAAAATCAGCAAACAGGCACCCTATGATTTTATATTCTGCTAAGAATTTTTCATCAGCCTTTGGAGGTTTCTTGATGGCAATATACAAACCAAAAAGAATCAGAAGAGTTTGTAACAGAAATACTGAACTCATGTCAGCAGAACATGCATATTTAGGTACTACATAATAATGCACACGATGCAGGCTTTTGTCTGCAGTGTGAGAGTAGCCTCATCAGTTACAAAAGATGCGAGGAGTAGGCCTTATTCATTATTTGTTCTGTCACAAAAGACGTAGTGGACAGCTATGGCAACATATCTGTAGAGGTAAAGGGGGAGTGTTTTATGAAATACTGTTCTATGAAACAAAAAGATAAAGTGCCCCAATCTTTTTAGTAAAAGAACAGTTTGGATCTCTAATCTTCCTTGCAAGCTTTCCTGTTCACTTGCATGTCTTCTAATGGAGAAAGGTGTGGTATTTCAAAGCAAGTCAGCTGCTTGCTGATTCTATAAGTGCTTCCATTCATCCACTTCTTCATTTTTTGTAGAAAAGAGATATTGCTACTATAGCATTATCATTAATTTAAAAAAATACTGAGTAATTACAAAAGTTACCTGAATAGGGGTGAGGGTTAGGATGTAGGCATCTACAGTGTCAACACCTGTATTTATTTCCTGAATCCTAGATTTCCTCCTGTTCTGTGAGAGTTAGGAAAATAGTTGTATCATTCATGTCTAGTTAATGCTGTGCCATATAGCTAGGGTTAGGGTTGGTGGCCGGAGTAAAGGTTTGGGAACCAAATTTCTTTCTGAATTCTGCAGTACCCTTAGAGTTAGGAGAAAGCAATGTCAGCGGGCCAAAAGCTGATGTATTTAGTGTAGGCACTGGCTCCCTGATTTCAGCTTGATGTTTGAGATAATTTTGCAGATTCAAAGTTTGAGTTTGTGGAAGAGGTTTTGAAAAGCCAAAGGTAGCGATGGATTCGGGCACGAATGGATCCAGGATACTTATCATTGCTTTGGAGAGAGTGGTGCCTAACATCTGATTACGATTAGAGTCATGGCTGTGGTTATGTTTATTGCTAAGAAATACAAAGCTTTGAGAGAGGAAACTTTATTTAATTCTTGCAGCTAAGGCCAATATTGATACCTAATGCATATTTTCTCTTTAACATTGAGATTTGTTCTATCATTGAATTTAGACTTACGTTTGGAGTTGGAACTCTTGTAGAGATGAGTTCATGGGTGTGATTTTATTCACTGCCTGGCTTCAGTCTTTGGCTTGTACACACTTCTTACATACTAGTGCACTTCTAGACTTCCTTTCTAAGCATATCAATTTGTTTTCCTCAAAGGAGGCCCCTGTACCCAGCTGACAGGACTTTCAGTTAATCACAGATGGTTGCAAACCACATCGCCTCTTCACTGCCTCCATCAGGCTATTCTCTCATGTTCTCTGAACTGATCTTATACCGCTGAACACCTTTATAGATGCCCATGGGTATGCAGTCCACATCTTTGGCCTCACACTCTAAAAAGACCTTCCAGCTATCTGTGCTCATTAATTTAGTACTTCACTTTCAGAAAATTCTGTCTCAGCATTGCACAGGTAATATACAGGGCTTTGGGATGAACAGGGCCAAGTACTTTGCAGTCTGTTCATAGCTAGATTGCTGTGCTGGGTTAGCCCGGAATAATACAAAGAAGCACTAGTGCATACCAATTGGCCAGAAGTCTCTAAGTGTCAGCAGAAAGGATATTTTTTAATTATTTCCAGAAATCAGAAGACTCTCCTGAGTGACTCTGAAAAGCTGTTTAATTACAGGGCTTTGTCCTATGTTTGAAACTCATCCATACTGCGATGCTAGCTGCACTGGTAAAAAAATTGCCTTTTGTATATAGTGTGTACCAGACACTCATTAGACTTAATATTTTTAAAACTTATATAAAAAATAATTGCTATCTCTGAAGGCTTTTGAAATCTACCCTCCCTGAAACCTTGTGTAACATTATTGGTATCAGTAGTGTTGGATTATCTACAAGGAAGAATTTAGTCCAGGTGCTTTCTCTTCAATATCTTCACTGCAACACGTATTCTTAATTTTGCATTTTTCCTTGCTCAACTACACATGATTTTTTTTTTTCAAAGAAAAGAAAGTAATGACACCATCTTTTTCTCATGTAAGATTTGCTTGATTTCTTTTTCTTTCTGTTTATTTTAGCTGCAGAATTCCCTGAAAAGTGATTTGTGCCTTGATCAAGGGCCAGACACGGAGAATATCCCAATCATGTATATCTGCCATGGAATGACACCACAGGTTAGTTTGTCTAATGATCTCTAATATTGCTGCTGCTCTTAGTGGACTGTGTAGGAGGAACCATGTTGTACTTGTCATGGTTTTCCTGCAACAATACCTCTGTAAGCTGTTTAGTAGCTCTTTTATAGAAAGCTAGAATGTTATTTCTGCCATAAATTGAGAATTGTTAGTATATTAGCATTTTGATAATGAAGTTTGTTTATTCATTTTGAAAGAATTTAAGAAATATGAGAGTCAGCACTGACCCAGGTTTATTGATAAAAGTTTCCATTTCTGATCTTTAACTGTGCATGTCGTATGAATGAAACAATGCATTTTAAAAAATTGTACATACATACATACGTACATATGTATATTCAGTCTATTTACACATTATCCGAAGCAACATCTTTTTTACTTGATATATTTACTGTCTCATTTTCACAAATCTGAAATGTTCAGCCACCTTCTTCACACCATAAAGCTGTGTCAACTTCCAAACCCTGTTCTTGTGAAACCCTTCTTCTAAAGCTGTTTTTCTTTCTCTGCTGTTGTCCTGTTACTCTAGTATGTGCCAAAGACTCAAATTACCAAAACCTTTCCATTTTCTTACACAATAGCTGGATTTATTGGCAAACAAGAGGGTTAAGACATTGTATCTCCCCAAGTGGCTAAGTATATGGGCATAGGTTAAGGTGTTTCCATGCAAATCTCGACAGTAAAAATAATGTTACATGCTTGTCAAAGGAAGATAGATGTGCAAATTATCTAACTCTAAAAAGTAACATAAGCAAAAATGACATAAAGGAAATGGATGTATTTGTGGGAGTGACTGGAGAAACTGAAAAATCCCTCCAGTTTATGTAATTTTTTTCTGACTACCTTTTATATTTGCTTTCTGAAAAGGACCCTATTATGCTCCGCTTAAGTTATGGAATGTGGTTTTACCTATGGAATTGTCAGTTACATGATTTGACTATACAGCAAATGAATCCTCCTAATATGTCAGCAATAAACACACAGCAACAAGGTAGTCTTGTCCTCTGTACCTGGATCTCATCGTGAGCTGGAAACATGAGTTTGGTGAAATGCAGATACGATTCTGTACCTCCTTACCAAGTTACACATGCTGCAACTGTGTTCTGTGCTGGCTTCCTTCACCTACTGCCTTTAATATTGATCTCTAGTGGCACCAGGCTTGAGTAAATTATGAATGATGAAGACAAAAAATATCTGAAAATGTCATCCATCAGACTCAACTCACTGCATGGGCTGTGGCTTATTTGTCACATAATTATGTGGTAACCACTGTTTGCCTCCAGGAGGTTTTTAAGCTAGTCCTCAGTGTTTGCTAAGGAACTGTGTAATTCACCCGTGAGCCAGAGCCATTACTCTTCATCTTCTGGGAGGGCGCCATAACTGTCTTCTGGCATGTCATCTGTGATAACAACACACTACAGGCACGGTTGTAAATTCCAATTAGAAATTTTAATTATAGTTAAGAGGCAAACAACAACAACAAGTCACTTCAATTAGCTCAGTTCAGTATTTACAAGATCAAGAACTACCTTTGAATGTCAGCTGAAGTTGTGTATAAATGAGATAGCAGGAAATAAATGACAGAGGGAAAAAGAGGCAAGGGAAATTTCTTGACAAGATTCTGCTCCTTTCATAATTACAGTGTTGTGTCTCCTTCCCATTACTATGTATTTAATTTTGTAAATAATGATGTTAAAAACAGCCCCCCAAAAAGGCTCATATATAAGTGATAATAAGTGAGAACTTTCTTTAAAAGAGGAGTAGGCTTTTCCTATGTTAGGGATTATGCTATTAACAGGGAAAGCAGTAACAAACATTATTTGGCATACTTCTATGAGATTTCCATTGTTCATATAGGATCTCTTGCTTAAGCAGAGCTGCAGCCATTTACGTTTGCTCTAGCATATTGGGAATATTTGAATAAATATTCCTTTTAATCTCAGTGAACTTGCCAGTAACCACAAAAGATATTGGTGAGAGGCTAATTTTATTCTAGTAGTGGTGAAATGCTCTATAAAGGGGGTTATTTTGCCCACCTGGTAGTCCTTATCAAAATAGATTAGTCAAAACGATTAGTACCCTAATTCAGGACTGCTTGTATGACTAAGGGTTTTGGTGATGCCGTTCTTCACTCTGGTGCAAAGTTTTACTGTTACAGCTATACCATTCATGGGTTTAGAGCTGCCATCATGGAGGGCTTTGCACAGTTGCATCTAGATGTGCATTAATATATCTGGCTGCCAGGAACCATTCCCTCATACGCAGTTTAAGTTGCTGTTCTTAGTTACTGCTATAGCCTCTCTTCTAAATTGGGTAACTTCCTTCCCCCCCCCCAACTCCTTTCAGATGTTTTTGGATTTTCATCTTTTTGCATGGGAAATGGCTTAGATGAGGTGTTTGACATCAAGTAATAGTTTCAGAATTGTATGTACGGCTATTGTTTCCTTTTAGCATGCTTTATACAAGAAAAAAATCATTGAAGTATGCGTACCTGAAAGTAAAAATTCATGCTCCACTTTTTGCAGACATCATGGAGAACATCATGTGTAGCTTCATTATTAAAAGCACTAGAAAATAGCAAGGAAATATCCTCAAATATCCTCAGTGAAAGGATCAGAAATAATTTCCCCTGCAATGCTTCAGTTTCATTTTAAATAGACATCAGAATTAGTGATGGTAAGGCTTCTGTGATTCAGATTCCCCAACTTTTTAGCAATCACTCCATACGT